TTCACGAAGCGTGCACGCTTTGTTCCGTGCCGCTATGCCATCAGTGCACGTGAGGTCGCCGACATCGTATTTGACCGAGTCGTGCGTGACCACGGGTTACCTCTGAGCATCATATCTGACCGTGACCCGCGCTTTACCAGCCGATTCTGGCGACGGCTCCACGAGGTGTACGACACTCAGCTCCGCTTCTCCTCGTCTTACCATCCTCAGACTGATGGTCAGACCGAGATCACGAACAGGACTCTCGGGGATATTCTCCGAAAGATTGTTCGTGACGACCAGCAGTGGGATCTCCATCTTGCCCACGCGGAGATAACCTACAACCACGCCGTCTCGCCAGCCACGGGGATGTTGCCTTACTATTGCGACCTCGGCTATCACCCGTGTGTTCCCGTGGACTTCCTTCGACCGTCCCAGATGCACCCCGACACGAGTTGTCCCACGCTGGATGATTGGGTTGCACACATGACGTCGATTATGAAGACCGCACATGAGCACATAGCCGCTTCCCAGACTCGCATGGCAGCACGTGCGAACCGATCGAGGATGGATCACCCATTCAAGGTCGGTGATGATGTGCTTATCGATGCCCGTCACTTACAGCTCGAAGCGGACACGCTTCGCAAGTTTCGGCGTCGCTTCTTTGGCCCATGCCGCATCCTCCAGGCCGTCGGTTCTGATACGGCATCTAGCCCGGTCAGCTTTCGTGTGAAGCTGCCCGACTACCTACGCCAGACTCGTGTGCATGATGTCTACCACATCTCGTTACTGCGTCCTTACCGCAGACCGTCTGAGCGTTTCGCTGGACGACCATACGAGCGCCCTCCACCCATCATGGTGGACGGCCACGAGGAGTTCCTCGTTTCAGACATCATTGGTCGCCGAGTCACCGACAACAACCCTCCCCACGTCGAATATCTTGTACGTTGGAAGGGTTACCCTGATGAGGAGGCTACCTGGGAGCCCCTCGAGCACTTGGAGCATGCTCGCATGTTGGAGCGTGCCTATGACCGTGCTCGTCGTGCTGGGTTCACTGCTCCTCCTCAGCCCACTGACCCTCCTCCTTCTCCTCCGGCTGAGGAGACCGCTGAAGTTGAGCCTGCTCCATCTGAGGCAGACCTTCAGCAGCAGCCGGATGCTTCTGAGCGTCCACAGCGCACTCGTCGTCGTCCTGCTCGATACGACGATTGACTCTGACTTACCTTCCCACGTCTTTGACTTCTCAGTACTCCATCCACATCARTTTTGCTACTTCAGCTCGTCGACGCTGCGGCTCTTCCTTGACGGCATTCCGGACTTCTCATCGTGGACGTCATCGGCGTCTTCATGGACTTCATCACGATCAGCTCTGCCTACTTCAGACGCCGCCACTCTCTTACCACTCTACCCTGTACAGTACCCTGCTTGTGTCGCATGATGGTCTCCCTTTAGCCGGGTTCCTCTGAGTTGGGCTCTCCCTTGGTATACGCATAGGCATCGGGATGGTCTCCCTTTAGCCGGGTTCCTCTGAGTTGGGCTCTCCCTTGGTATACGCATAAGCATCGGGACCGTAGCGTTGCCCTGGCTTCCCATCTTACGGATCTAGCTCCGACTTCCCTCACTTTAGGAGTCATTTGCATGATTCCCTTACCCATCATCTTTCTACCCTTCGCCGGTCCTCACGCCCTAGTTAGGCAGCYCCGCATGCTTCATCTAGGTGCGCCCAGTATACCAGGCTCCCTTGTTCCCTTGCATGGTCGACCCTCCATARCGRTCACCCCTTAGTCGAGCATTACCCGCCCTGATGGTCTATCTGTTAGGGTCATTGGTTCTGTTCGCTMCYAGTTCCCTGCCCTCATTGAGCCTGATGACATGTGTTTTCCCCTGTCACTATGTGTGGATGCCCTTAGGAGTTTTCGACCCCTAGGCTGCATTCGCCACCCTCAGAGACCATCCCACCCTTTGGTGTGCGACACACTTCTCATGTGACATATGGTTGTCTTGTTGATTGCTTTGTTGCTCTCAGATTGAGGTGACTGCCTCCGACGTTTCTAGGATTTAGTTGTTCTGCTTTTGCTGTTCTTAGGACTTATACACTAGTCAGTTGTTACCAGACTGAGGCTAGTGCCTCCAACATTATAGGATCTAGTTGTCACTACTTTTTGCTTTCCTAGGACATGTATGTTAGTTAGTTGCTCCTACTTTTACTTACGCTGTTAGCTGTGACATCGCTGTTTTGTGACATTTTATATCCTAGGTTGCATCGCATAGACTCAGCATGGAGCTTGCTCCGTATCCTAGACTACTCAGGTTTTCTTTTTTTTGGTAGAGTTCCGCTTCTTGGCGGAAGCATGTTTGTATCTAGGCGATCCATCACAGGCCGAGGATCGTGTAGCGGACCTCGGGTTGGCCTGTGAGACCAGCCCCTTGGCCTGTTCTCACAGGCCTGTGTTATATTCGGGGTAGGCCAGTCCAGGCCGGTACCTCTGTCGGTACCAGCCAGTCCATTCCAGTCCCGTCAGTCCGCTGGGGTATACCCCAGCCATTGTCTGTTTTCAGTCTCATTCCTCACTTGCACATTTTGGAGTACGTGCGTTGGAGTCTTGCGTGGGGAGCTGCGTTGCGCCATCTTGCTCCCCCTTCTTCCTCCATCTCCATCTCTGTCACTAGCAGAGCACCACACCTGGTGGGTCCGCTACATTGGGTGACGCGACCATAAATTCTTTGAGCGTGAACAAATCGCGGTGGTTTTTCAGAATCCGGTCCACAATCTGCTAAATATCCAGCCCTTGCTCCACTGGAATTGTGTAAACTTGCTTCTTCTTTTTCAACTCTCCTTCCCCAATATCGGCCTTGCCCGTTTCCGGCTCCCACTCCATGGCCCGTTGTTTAGCTTGCCGCTCATCTTCGGCTCTCAACAATTCGTCCTCCGCGCTTCTTCAATCGGAATTGTTTCGCTTTCCTGAGGCTGACTTGGCCCTTCTTCTGGCGTTGCCCTTGGCCGCGTCGCCCTTCGAGCCCTCCGAGCTTGTGGGAGGCCAGCAGTGGCAGGTCGCTTGAAAGCAGGACGGGACAAGATCGTGGTGGCCATCATACGTCCTACCGACGACGATCCAGGTTGTGATGCGCTAACATCAATAAGACCTCCTTGGCCGTCTCTATCCCATCCTCCAAACAAAAAAACTTGGGGAAGTCCGGGCCACTCTTAATTCATATCGGCATATATTTGAACAAAAGCTTCCCGACATCGGTTCATCTTCTTTACCACCGTCCGAGCTCGCTGCAATATTTCTTCCTGTTCTTTGCTCAAACCGTCATCTTCGGCTTTGGAGTCCTCAATCGTCAATGATCCCATTGCAGCTTCCAACTCAATCTGTTCGACTTCTCCCGGGGAAGTAAGCCGAAACGTTGCTGGAAGGTCGCGCCCCATACGTCGGAAAGCGTCCTTTCTCATTCCTCCCTCCACATTGGGATCGATGAGATTTCCTTCGAAGTCGTAGACCTCGCCTCGGATATTCGTATATATAACCTTATCGTTCTCGTCTTTTGTAACAGTCTGACAAAACCGTATCCCATGCCCATCTTGTCTACAATACTTGCAAAACCAATTCTGCCAATTGCCTCGCCCGCCCCCATTTCCTCCGCCTCCCCTGTTGCCTTGTCCCCTACCTCGACCTTCTGCCTGGGGTTGGGGTTGCTGAGGGGGGGTTTGAGCCGCCTGTTCCTGATTTCCTCCTTTTCCACCTCCGACATTGTTCTTCCGCTGCTTTTTACTAGTACCCTGCCCCCCTCGTATCTGATTCAAGGCCTTCCGTTCTGCCTTAGTCAATTTTCGAGGGGGCTACTCGTCCTCCTCATCTTCCTTTTCACTGCTGCTATTACTTACTTCCTCCACAACGGATGCCTTCCCTTTCCTTTTCCCACCTTTTGTCTGGACCATCATCACTTGTAACTTTAACCTTTCCTTCTTCATGTCAGCCATCATGTTCCGCATGTCAGTCAGGGTTTTGTAAACGGCTTGATCCTTGTCCGCGCTTACCCTTTCCTTCTCGCGGTCCTCCTTTTGCTGCTTCAGGAGACGGTAAAGCATTTGGTCGAAGCTTCCAGCCAACAAATTTTCCTTGATCTTTGGCTTGTCGTATCGCCCAGTCATATCCTTCATCAGTTCCCGTTGCTCAACTTCCGAAAAATTATCAAGGAAGATGAGACATCGATGCTTATCTGGAAGGTCAGGCACTAAGCGAGCAACTCGTTCGAACTCCGTGAGGAACTGCTTGGCTGTACCAAACTTCCGACGACTGACTTTCTGTGAGTCTGCCAGGTCGAGCAGTTGATCCCCCAATTGATACTTGTCCAATAATTTGGCTTTGAAGTCCGGCCAGTCGTGCGAGGCTTGCACCAACTCCGACACTTCTTCCTTATACTCAACCTGACAATATCGCTTTACCATCTGAAGTATCTTCTCACTCGTCCACTCACAGCAACTGCCCAATTGTTCAAACTTGTCCACCCATGCTGAGGCATTGGTGCCATCGAAGAGGGGAACTTGGACTTTCGGCAGCTGTGCCTTCTGATTATCGGCTTTCCGAATATCTCGTGCGAGTTCCAAGATGTCGTTGCGACGATCCCCTGCATTAGCACTTCCTCCCGTTGTCGGACCAAATATCCTTACAAGGGCATTTGACCATGCTTTTGCATTCGACACGGTGACGGCATCGGCTACCATGATGGAGCCAGTCTGGAATAGAAAGGGGTGTGCACACTTGAGCGTGACGCTTGAAACGAACTCCTCGGCCAATGAGGCCGGGACGAATCGGTGAGAAAATTTCGAGAGTATGAGCGTGTGTTATTATGACGCTCGCTGTGATGGTTAGGATCAGTAGTAATATCCCTCGATAGAAGAGGTCGAGGGGTCAGGTGGGTTAATGATGTGTCAGGTAGATCTACGACACACACTGAGACTTGGTCTAGTACTTGTCTGTCTTCCGGTACCAGGTGTTCTAAAGTTTTCAGCTTTTGTCTTCCCCTACTCGGCCTCCGAGTCGAGTACCCGCCGCATCTACCTCGATGTGGTATGGTACCGACCTACCTACTACTTGAGTGTTGTCCGTCGCTCTTAAGGTGTAGCGGACCTCTTTTACCGCAACTTGAGTGTTTTCCCGTCGCGACCCTCGAGTGTCGCGGCCATAGCTAGGTACCGACCTACCCGCCACTAGAGTGTTTTCCCGCGTCTACCCTCTATATCGCGGCCACGACTAAGTACTGGCCGGTCCTCTACCTGGGTGTTTTCTCGCTGCAAACCCAAAGTCACGGTAACAAGCAACTACCGCCCCTGCGAGGCCTCCCAAATAAAACAAGTACCCTTGAAGGTCACACACACATTCAGGGCAATGAGCTTTACTTATAGGAGGGCAGCTCCTTACCGTATCATGGTAAGAGCTAGCCCAGTAGGTAATAGGTCGGAATTGCATACAGCAGACTGATGGATTGAAACCCGATGACCACTGGGCTAACCCTTCTTTTTGGCAAGCGACCCGAATTCGACCCCGTCCACTACTGTAGGCCGAGATTCGAACTCGTGCCCATAGGGGTAGAAGATAATTAAAACAGTTAGTTCCTTGTTTTTCGTTGCTGATTCCCGTGCTCTGCAGTTGGCATCACGGGGTAGGTAGTAGATTTGTTTTTTTTCTTGTCCTTCCTAATTTCGTTAGATTCTTTTATTATTATTATTATTATTATTATTATTTATTATTATTATTATTTTTTCTTTTACAAGATTTGAAAGCATTCCATTCCGTTGAATCTGTCGCGGATTCAACGATAGATTCAGTCCAACGCGGTTCGTGGTCGGGTGAGCTCCGACTGCAGCCCGTGCGACCCAGCAGGGAGCAGGGGAAAAAGATTGTGGAGTCGACGAACTCGGGTGTGGTTAGAGGGAGAGCGGAGAGCAAGGCAGGAGGTATAGGAGGTAGAAGGGATAGCGAGATGGAGGTCGAGCGGGAGAAAAGAGGAGATGGAGATGGCTGCGAAGTAGAGGGAAGAGAGAGCAGAGCAGCGAAGATCGCATGCGGGAGTGTGCGCTCAAAGGTTGAGCGAGGCCGGGGGTAGTGCATGAGCAAACCAGCAAGATAGCGCATGGGAGGAGCGCGGAGAGGGAGAAGATGGAGCGCGATGGAAAGTAGCGGGGTGTGGTAGAAGAAGGCGCGCGGGGAGGATGCGCAAGTGTGCAGGAATGGAAGTAGCGAGCGGCCGGAGAGCAGAGGAGGAGGTGCGCCGGAGAGCAGAGGAGGAGGTGCGCCAGAGAGCAGAGGAGGAGGTGCACCGAGGAGGAAGGAGGAGTTGCGCAGAAGGAGGAAGGTGACCGCGCGGAGAAGGAAGAAGGCGAACAAGTGAAGAAGAAGAAGAGGAAGAAGAGTAGAAGAAGAAGAAGAAGAAGAAGAAGAAGGAGGAGGAGGAGGAGAGAAGAAGTAGGAAGGAAGGAGCAAGGGGAGAAGAAAGCACTTACCTGACCGTATGGTCAGACAACAAGCACGACACTGATGAAGAAGACGAGGGCGACGATTACCCCGACGACGACGACGGCTCGGCGACGACGTGGGAGCGAGAACGAGAACAGGTAAGCCTTCAATCATACGGCTTACCTCGGGATAGATCGATAGGATAAAACAAAATACATAAAACAAATAAATGAATAAATAAATAAATAAATAAATAAATAAATAAATAAATAAATAAATAAAATATTAAAAAGGAATGAATCCAACGCTAAGACATGAAAATATACATTGATACGTTTGTGTATACGTGTGTGTGTGTGTACGTGTGTGTAAGAGAGAAACTACCTTGGCCGACAGCTAAGTCTCCCACTCGCGCCTCGCCGCACGCTACTTGGATTGATAAAACGAGCAAATCAAAAAGTGAAAGTGTATATCTCCCCGTTTCGGCAGAAGATTCATTCCATTTTTGCTCATCCTATAGATGGAATGTGTGTGTGTGTGTGTGTGTGTGTGTGTGTGTGTGTGTGTGTGTGTGTGTGTGTGTG